ATCACTACTTATTTTAATGACCTAAAATAATCCATTTGGCTTGGAATAATAAGCTTTTATTACAAATATTTATACTTCGTGATAAATTTATTTTATTTTACTTTTTTTTTTTTTTTACTACCATAAAGCTACGATCTCAAACGTGAGAGTAAAGTAAGGAATACTTCCAATAAAATATATTTATTATTTGACATTCGTGGTAATAATTATTGTTACACTTTGTAGTAAAACGAGTAGAAAGTAGAATTTTGACATTTACAAAATTAGTTTGAGTATAATCAATAATACACAAGGAATGATGTAACCTTGCATAAATCTGTGGAAAGTTTTCAATGAATTCCTACGAGCTTACTTAATGTAAATAAGCCTAAAGTTTGACTTTTTCCGATCGAATTTGCCAAACTAAACCCATTTTCAACCAAACGTTATATTTGGGCTTTTACAACGTTCTTTTCCAAACAAACGTTCATAAGTTCGGACTGTTACAACGTGCGTTTTCCAATCAAACGTTACAGACGCATACGTTTGGCCATTTACAATACTCTTTTTTGTAGCGAGTAACTAATCAGCTTTTGAGGTTAGTTGTTGAAGTTCTAATTTGTCAACATTCCATAGCTATTTGCGTAACTTTCCGTGATTAATCAACTAATATTAATTTTATTAAAATATGCAAAAGTTTTTTATTATTTACAAGCAACTCAGTCAATTAATAAAGGGAGAACTAACAGAGCTTACATACTGTATAGTTAATAATCAATGATCCAAAATAGTTGAATACAAATTAAAGTCCTCGAAAAGAGATTCATTGTTGAGGTGGTGCATGAACCTTCAAACGAACATACGTAACTGTCATTCCTAAGAAGAAATTTTAAATAAAACACGTCTCGACAACAAGTTGACTTTTAATTGACAACCCGAATCATCATACAGATTTCTAATAATATGGGTCCTCAAAAAAAATGGTGATAATTTAACATTTATAGCCATAGCCCTTGTAATTGATGTGGACCTCATAAATGGATTGAATCTCATCATTATTCGGCTAATAGAATAAATGACAACCAATTGGTGTTGCTCAAATTATTTCACTAAAAATGAAATTCTGTATGATAAATCATATGATCAGTAATAAGATTTTATTGACGTCATATGTGTTTGTGTTTTTTTGCAAAAAAAAGTTTGAAAATATATAATATTCCATAAAAATATTAAAAATTCATTATTTTTTTTGTGAAAATATGTCAGAAATTAAATAATTAGTCCAAATTTGCATTTGTCCTATAATAAGTAAGTTGTACAATACTCCTGCCGGATTAAAAAAAAATTGAAGAAAATGAAAAATGAAAATTTATATAATTATATATTAAAATTCGGGGGTTTATTAAAGGAAATAAATATTGACTATGCTGCTTACCTATTACTAAAAATTGGTTTTAGTAAAGTTCGTGTGTTGGTTATGGAGCCTCGAGGCAAAAAAAATTTTTTTAACATTTACACTTAGTGAAATATAAATAAAAAAGCATCATCGATGCATATGAACATAAGAGATGTGGATAAAACAAAAGGATTCAATTTTATTTTTCTATATATACCGGGGGGTGACAAAAATATTGCACGATTGAGAATGAGATATTGAGTAAATTTTTCATTTGTAACTGAGCCATATTTTATTAGAAACATTTTGGACATCTATTGCATTAATGAAATATTTTCATTAATTGTTTAATTTAATGTTGCAATTCTTAAAATCGAATTTTAAAAAATCTCTATTTTTTAACATTACGCATTATATTTTCGTTAAAAGGCTAAAATGGTCATTATTACAGTAAAAAAAAAATTGGGTCTAGAAAAGATGTCATTGACTGACCTTATGTTACTTGCAGCTTATTAAATAGCGAGAACATATAAAGTGCGAAGAAATTAAACGTAGAGATTGTTTCAAAATTAGATTTTACACTATGCATTACTCTAAACCAAACAATGAACAAAATGTTTCATTAAGTAATAGTTAGCTAATATGTTATTAAAAGTATAGCTCAGTTACTTATTAAAAATTTATCAAAATTATCTAATTCTTGACCGTGCAATACTTTTGTCACCCCCGGTAATTCGGATTTATTAAGTCTAATTTAAATAGTAGTAGTTATATATAATATTGTTCTTTTAAAAAATAAAATAAAAAGGAACATTTGAATTTTTTTCTATTATTATAATAACTAATAAAAATTTTCACTTTCTAGTCGAAATTTAATCAACAAGTGAAATTTTAAAATAAGTAGAAAAGTGGTAAATCAAAAAATGACTTATGTTTTCTATTTACCGAAGAATCTTTGGTTAAACGGGTGAATTGATGCGAGACGGGATTTGATACTGAACTCCGATTGCAATATGCTTTCAAAGTTGAAAGTTGTCTTTCTTCTTCTATACTAATGTTATAAAATCGAGTCAATCAACCGCAACCCATCTATCTGAGATAATCGTTCCGCTGCAAATTCCCTCTGAAATTCCAAAACTACCAGAGTTATAATTAAAGCAGAAAGTTAAAGAAAAAAAGGAAGGGAGAGAATCAAATAATTCACGAATGATCTTTACCTTAATTTTATTCTAAAGGCTTCGGACGAAACATCAAATCTTGCTCAATTTTCCGATAAAAGTGACCTTGCATCTTCTGTAACGAACTCTCGGATGCGCTTGCGCATCGAAAATTTTGATAGCATCATGAGATTCATTGGTTACAAGGAGGTTCTAAATAATCAGAAGGTAGATCTGTCAAGCGATAGGAAATCATTCGGTAAGAACGAGAAACATTGAGATTTTCGTTCATTATACAATTATTATCGTTCGTGCCACGACCATCATAGATTGTGTATCAGCTACTGCACGCGAATTTACCCATTGTAAAATTTCCATTATAGTACAGCTTTCTCGATCACGAAAATAGGAAAATATTATTCGATTGTCAACTGTCAAAAAATCAGCCTTCGAGCTTTTAATGTACGTCTTTAACGGCTACTGTACTATATTCATTTATTTAATTTATTTAGAATTTACGTCACATTTAACAGTGATATGATTATTATTTTGATTGTGTATGCTAGTTACTGCGATATATTTTAATATTATTTATATTCTTGTATTTTCTAACCATTACAGTGCTTTTATTAAAGTTTTAAAAAGCTGATAAAAATAAATCATACAAATAATTCAAACTTAAATTACTACATAGATTTTATGCGATAAATTGTATTATATTTACGAAATGTTTCGTTGGCGCAGTAATTTTGCGTTACCATTGTCGTCGTACATTAAATTTCCGGTGGCTTAG